ATTTTTAGAGACAGAGAAAAAGCAAGGCAGGAAAATCCCATGATTTGCAAAGGCTCATAAAAAAGTTCCAAGGCAGATGTAGCAGGTGGTGCCTTGACCTTGGGTAGAGTTCCTGAGAGATTTTGTCTCACTGACCAAATGGCATCAAGTAGTAGCAGTCAGGTGAGGTGTGGGGAGGTGGGGCCGTCCTGAGTCACAGAACCACAGGAATCTAGTTTCTTGCCAATTTGTGAAACACTGGACTGGAGGTGTCCAAAAGCTTTATGCAAGGGAACCAGCATGCATAAGGCTGATGACTGATGATATTCCACTGCCACTGTGCCAATTGGAAACAGGATACCAGATGTTTCTGATTTCTGCCATGTGGGTTGGGTAACTTAGGAGAGCATCTACACCTGAAGGAGACTCAAAACATGTCACACCAGGAAGGTGACAAAGGTGCTCAGTCAATGGCTGGATACAATGACAACAGGTGTGATGATGAATGATGCCCACGTGAAAAACGATTATTCATTTAAACCAAGAGAACATTTCATGATATTACTGTACATCTACATTTTCTTCCTAGGTGAGAGGGTAAAAAGGCTAGGGGAATAGTCTTATTTACCAGCACTTTACATGCGTGGATCTGTGAGAGAAAATCAGTTCAGCATGTCAGTAATTTCTGTAATGCTGCCAGGTGTGTGCTGGTGAGTAGGCCACGGCCATATCGGTCATATTTTCTATCTCCAAGGCCCGAGAGTAAGATATTTGGAAACGATCTAGGAATCCAGGTATAGGTAGAAACAAAAATCACCAATGAACTTATTTTTTCCTGACATAAAGTTAATATAGTGTGGTAAAAATTTTAAATGCATCTCTAAAGTATTATTTCTGTGTGCAACATACAGAGAACTGAGCTAAAAGAAAGAAAGATAACCTGGCCATTATGTAGCCTTCCTGGCTTCATTAGTCGGTAAAAGCCACTTGTAAACTCTCGGCAGCAGCTGCTTTCTAATGGGAAAGGTAATTTCTCTCCACTTAGCCTGAGGATGGACCCAAGTGTGCTAGGCAGTGGGGAGGAAAGCCACACAGTTCTAGCCTCCAAGGAAGGCAGTTCCAAACAGGGACACCTTGCAGGGACCGTCATCAACACCTGGTTTTGAGATGAATGGTTTCTCCATTCTGTTTCCACAAAATAGGCTACCCGGGTCTGACCCCCACTGGGATAATAGGTCACTTTGCTAAATGACTTCACTAGTAGGCACAGATTATTATTTCTACTCCGCAGAGTAACTTCCTCCAGAGTCAAATCAGAGAATTCAATCCCAATAAGAATACTGCACCGTTTTCTCTAATTAGTGGGAATAACTTACTTCCTGAGACATTTGTGAAGTTTCTTAAAATAATAGGAAATAAACTTTGAGACATTATGATGGTTATCACCAGGGCTCAGTGAAAAGAAGGAAAAGCTAATAAATTAAAGCAATAGATGAAGAGAGAGGCCCTTCATGTTTACCTCAATCGGGGGCTGACTGTCTCTATTAATTGCAGCGTGGTGCAAATGAGAACACATGTACGTGTTTGTTCCTCACTTGGGCCTGGTAGTTTCACACAGAGGAAAAATATTCCGACCATCACCAGTAAGTCTAGGCAGTATTGGGACAAACATCTGCTATGAGCCACAAGAGGGCCAGATGGAAAAATAATTCAAGCACACATTGACTTGATGGTGGGGGTAGTGGCATAATTTATACAAAAGTTACAGCAGATTTAGCTGGGAAGGTTTTCGGCTGAAAGATCTCACTAGATGGCGCATAATGCTATTGGTATTTTAACATTTACCCTTCTTTTTAAATTAATTTTGTAAGGGCAAAGGTAAAGAAGTTTTTAATGTTTTCATATCTTCTGCTATTAAAAATTCTCCGGAGTCCAAGTAAAGAGTTTCAATAAAAGAACTTATAAAGCGACCTTTAATCCTGAGATATGTGTAATTCAGTAACAAGTATCTGTTTTTCCTTTTCTTTGAAAATATAACTCTGAAATGTGGACTGCAATTTATGCAGGTATTAGGGAAAGTGTAGAAGCAAAGGGATCATGTGGCGTTAATGTGAACACCACCACAAATACTGGGGTACCATGATGCCCTGATACACGGCTAGGTTGAGCGTCAAAAGGCGAGCTCTACTCCCAAGATGGTGCTCCTTACCATTTATTCGAGTCTCAGTAAAGTATGGATTATAGCATCGCCCCTACTTATTCAGTTGCTCAAGTAGGCAGTAAATAGTAGCATTTGGGAGAAAGGGGCCGAGCATGACAGAGAAGTGAAGATTATCATCGTATGATTCCATAAGCAGAGAGAATGAAAAAGCGAGCCAACCCCTGGCACATTTGGACCTCATAGTGCCAGGTGTTTGGAGGACAAACATCTGGATGTGGGATTATATTTTTTTATTCTTCCCCCAGATGTCGGGATATTGTAAATGTTAGGGATAAGAAAAAAACGACTTTGAGCATTTAAAAATGGGACTGGTTAAAAAAAAAAGGATTATTAATTGAATGCTGGCAGAATGTTTCAAAGAACAAGCTAGGCTGAGAAAAATTGGTCATTCTGTCACTGTACTTCTGTCATAATGGCAAAGGTCTCCAAGCCAGAAGGGAGTCTCAGGACCTTTCTGACACAATCCTCTTACAGTATTTCTTCTTACACACTTAAGATTTCTTTAAAAATTTTTTTTAAATGTTTTATTTATTTATGAGAGAGAGAGAAGAGAGACAGCATGAGCAGGGGAGGGTCAGAGAGAGAGGAGACACAGAATCTGAAATAGGCTCCAGGCTCTGAGCTGGCAGTCAGCACAGAGCCTGACGCGGGGCTCAAACCCACGAACCGCGAGATCATGACCTAAGCCAAAGTTGGAGGCTTAACCAACTGAGCCACCCAGGCGCCCCACACACTTAAAATTTCTAATCATATAATTCAGTTATGTATTAGGACACAGCCATTAGATTACTTTGCTGATTCCAACTGATTTGGATAATTACTTAACCTATGATAGACAGGTCTTCTAGATTCTACAAGAACCCCCCCCCCCCCCCCTGTTTTTTTAAACAAAGCCCCCCCCCCCCCCCCCCCCCCCCCCCCCCCCCCCCCCCCCCCCCCCCCCCCCCCCCCCCCCCCCCCCCCCCCCCCCCCCCCCCCCCCCCCCCNGTATTAGGACACAGCCATTAGATTACTTTGCTGATTCCAACTGATTTGGATAATTACTTAACCTATGATAGACAGGTCTTCTAGATTCTACAAGACCCCCCCCCCCCCCGCCTTGTTTTTTTAAACAAAGCAAACATCACACAGTGCTATTGCCTTAATTTGTAATCATGTCTCAGTTCAAGCCCAGTATTCCTATTTCAGATGCTTGTGTGATGATTTCAGCCAAACGCTCTCTCAGTCTCCACTAATCCGTTCTCCACAGAGGAAAATAACATTCACTATTTTATCTTTCTGAAAGTGTACTGATACAACTTTATTTCCCCCAATGCATATTGCATATATCCCAAATAAGTATTTTCTGTGTTCTTACTGGAGTTTTAAATATTCTTCCCATTTAACTGGATAGAATAGCCCCAGGTTTGGCCACAGCTGGACAAAATACTTGACGAACTGTCTTTTTGTCACAAACAAGAAGACTAAAAATTCTGAGGACAAACGATATTTATAGGTACTGACAATTCCCTCTTAGCTTAGGGCCCTTCTGTAGTTCACAGTTTAGACGACCATTCTGTAAACTAGAGTGGGTCCAACTCTAAGAGTTAAAAGTCCCAAGATTAAGTGCTGAACCATAGCTTTGCAGGGGAATGGTTTTCATATCGCCTCTGGAAATCCCACAATTTAGATAAAGCAGGGATACCAGGCAGGGTCTGGAAAGCACAGAGCTGTCAAAGCACAGTCTGTTTTCCTGATTCTCAGAGTTTCAGTGTTTTAAGACCAACATTACTCATCTATGACTGAGCCATCTGCCTGGGACGATCTTCTGTGGCTCAGGGATCAGCAGGAACCGGACATGATGGAAAGCTGTGGTGAAGCCAGCCTGCTCCTGCAGAATGAGCCCTGAGGCTTGGAGAGCCAGCGAAGAATTGGACAAGATTGTTCCGTTACATCCAGTTCTGCTGAGGTCATGCAGTCCTGCCTTATTGAAATTAAACCTTACGCCATATTTAGTCAGCCCTCTGAGAGTTAAAAGTTTAGCATCTCTGTTGTCTTCAGCTGGCTAAGTCTTGGTCAGGCTGTAAGCCATAACACTCGGTTAAAATGAACAGTGCTAGCTGCGGGCTCATCAACACACACTGTAGATGCCAGTGCCCAAGACCCATCGTCTCTGTTAGTGTGAAAGGAAACGGACCCACCATTCTCAGGGCAATCAGGAAAATAGCTGATGCTCCCCGGCTGCAATGTACAATATTGTTTCTCTCCAAATAAAGTTAAGATGACAGACAATTTCCCCAGCGAGAGCCTGTCTGTCTGCACACAAGCATCTATGCCCACACCACGTGCCAGTAATCATTGCTATATTCCTTTTTTCTTCTTCAACATTTTTATTTCCACTAGATCCACATTTTTTTCTGGCTTGCTTTAATTTTATTCTCCATCAGTTTAATTTAAAACAGACTGACATTTCCTAGGGTAAGAACATTTTAAAGGGGTCACTTTATTGGGCAGATCCAATAAATAAATAATGCCCAAATTACAGGGTACTAAGTTAATGCCCTGTGATTTAGAAAGAAATGGCAAAGCAAGCCTTAGTTTCAATATTCTCCCTTCTCAATGACCATGCATTGACAATCTTTATCCATAATTTGGCTTTAACAGAAGTGGCTCTCAAGGGAGTGGGTTTATCAGTCAAGTTGCCTGGAATTTACGCGTAGCTGCCACCTGGTACTAGTTTGCACGTAGTAACGGTTCCTACCGCCCAGAAGTTTAACGTTAATTACACGATCAGTGTTCCCTCTGCTCTCCCAGCACTCACCTTGGGGATGCTGAGGTGTTCCCAGACAGGAGGATGATCCCACGAGAGCCTCCTGTGAGTCTAGAGAAGAAGGGCTAGGGCTCAGAGGGGTGGGGGAGGCAGGGGCCGCAGGGGAGGTCAGGTCCAAGGAGAGGTCACCTCTGCCCCGGCTCGCGCTCCGGCTTCTCGCTTCTTTCTCGTGCGCCTCGGCTGCCAACTGCTCCAAGTATTTGTATCTGAAAGTTAAATTCCAAAGGGTTTCCGTAAAAAGAAAGAGGAGCCCGTGGCCGATGCTTGTTTATGGATGAAACACCTGCAGAGTGAGCTGGTTTCCTGATGCACAGAGCACAGCACAGGGCTGGCTGGAGGGCTGGTCTGCCAAAAGCAGCCAGAGAAGCCAAGATGCTAATGATTAAAATCCCCGCATCATTCATAACCAAACAAATTGGGAGAAATGGCAACATCACACAGTCTCCAGATACTGGATCACTGCTGTAGAATCCTATGTTGCTCTTTTAGGAAACATGTGTACAAAGAAGCAAAACAGCAATAATGCCCATTACAAAGCCCCAACAGTGACAGCTGGAAACCACACGCACTCGGAGCTTGCAGCTGTGAAATGGGAGGGCGCCTTGGTGCGGCGGAGAGAGACAGTGCCCCCAAAATACCGAAAGGGGTTGTTGGACGAAGGCCTCTCTGAATTTCTGAACCTGCTTCAATACTAACAGCAATGCGACTGGAATTCACTTTGTTCTCCCAGGGTCGACCATGGAAACTTTTTTATATTCTAAAATATTTCTGAGTAGGACTCAGACATCCAATAGCTTGGACCTGACGTCACATATAGTTTATTCATCAAAGTCAGTTTAAAAGAACAAAGATACATCTGTTTTGCATTTCAGGCAGGCAGAACCCACTAACTGTTTATTAAGACCAGCTACCAATCATATTCCTCATAGTGCGCTTTATAGATCAGACCAAAATAACTTTGAAATATGTGCCTCTTCCAGATGTCTGCTAATTTTACCCACCATTATTTGTTCTGAAGTAAATTTATGAATTCAGCTGTAAGGGTTTCTATCTCACCAGCCACTACACTTTGAGACAGGTTATTCATGACCCTCACTCAGATCCACTGGGATTCACTGCTTCGGTCCCTCCCAGTGGGCAGGGACCCCCAACCCTAGCCCCCACCACACAGCGCACATGACATTCCTAATCACCCACCTAAGAAAGGCAGAGCACATATATAAAAGCTTTAAAAAGGATGCATTTAAAGAGCATGCATTTCTTCATGCAACCCTAATGCGGGCGTGGCTCCCCCACGTCGGGGCCGCCGTCACCCCTTCTCCCTGCCAGTCCTGAGGCAATCTGCCCCGCAGGCCAGGCTCGCACGCGTGTCTCCTTCGGCGAAGCCTGCCTTGACCACCACAGCTGGAAGTGATCTTAGCCTTGCCTCTGAACTCATGTCGGATATGTAGTCCATTCAACTCAGATGGCATTTTACATTTACTGCCTGGCATATTTAGTCATCTTTTCACATGTGTGTGTCTGTTCTCAACAAGCAGATAATAGGATTTCTGAGAACAGAAGATTACCAGCCTTTGTTCTTTCCCTTGGTGCCTTGCATTTGCCGGGCCCAGGGGAGGCAGGCAAGGCACACGGTGAGGAACCTGCAAGGCGTCGCCTTGCTGCAGAGGTCTACCCCGCAGCACCGGGTGCCGAGGGCGGCCGGTACACCTATTTCACTTTCTTGAGGAGGGAGCCTACTCTCACGGTGTATCTCTGAGAAAAGATGCGTGAGGGATTTGCACACACACACGTCTGGGTGAGGTTTGGAGGGCCTCCCGGTTACGGGGCAAAGGAATTCTGGGCTTTCCTTGCCAGCAATGTCACCTCTCATAAGGAGGGACAGGTGACAAAAGGTATTTCTCAACTTAATCTGGACCAGCGAGGAAAACCACCTGGCCATGGAAACTTGGATGAAAGTGGCCTTGAGGGCAAGAGTCAGAATCCCAACAGGAGGCATGTTCTAAATGAGCTGGTGGCACACTCAAGGCCAGGAATGCTGTGAGCCCAGGAGGGGGTTGTGAGGCATCCCCATGCTGAATCTGAGCCTTCTGCGGCAGGAGACAGGGACAAGCAAAGAATGGGGTGCAATCAAGGGGACCTGCATAGATCCAAGGCTTCGAGCCAAGAGGACAACCCATTTAGGACCTTCAGTCCTGGCCCTGGCCTCTCCATGGCCCTACCTGTGGGCAGTCAGACTGGCAGGTATGTGTGGGCAGCCAGAGGGGTCACCCCACTTTCTGGGGGACTCCAGGGGTTACTCCTCCAGAGTCTGGATACGACTCAAAGGCATCCTCTGCACTTTCCATCTCCTAGATGTCATCCTTGAGGACCCGGAGAAGAGTCAAGGATTTCATATGAATTCTCCTGAGGATGTTTGTCTGATAGACAAAAATGATGGGGGCTTAAGGACTTGCTTGATGGTGTAAAGTTTCTAGAGTTGGACCACACAACAGTGTGAATGTACCTAACACTACTGAATTGCACGCTTAAACTTGATCTTCTGTGTATTTTGCCATAGGTATAAAGACTTTTAAATATGGCAGGGACGGGGTGGGAGCACCAAGGTCATGAGTCACTAAATCTTTGTGAAAAAGCGGCACCAGTGTCTAACTGCAATGGGCCGGAGTGGTTAGGGGAGGCCGGCATGCCTGGGAAGAGCCAGGCCACCTGGCATTGAGAGCTTCCAGCTTAGCCACCTCTCCTGACCCATGTCAACTGGCACTTCCTGGGGAGGAAGTTTGCCCTATGTCACAACCTTCCCTTACAGACAGACCTAAGTGCAATTAGGGGCCCAACAGTACCTGCTCCCAGGAGCCCAGCAGCCCATGAAATGAGGGTCCTATGTCCCTGTGGCTTTGCGACACAACCCCCAAGCGAGGGGCTCTCCGGAAGCTTCCTGTGTGCAAAGCACTGGGTTTTCCATTCATAGTCCACAGCCTTAAGAAAAGACTTTTCACCTTTCCTACTTTCATCTAAACACTCCCTTTTATCTGACCTCTGCCCATATCTTTTGTTTATTCATTCATCTTCCATTGTTTATTGAACATTTGTTGAGTGCCTGTCATGTGCTAAGTGCTACCGTAGGTACTAGAGATTTAATAATAAACAAGAACCGCCCCACCCCCCACCCACTCATGGAGTTCACAGTTCAGTGGGAGAGATAGGCAAACAAACCTCTGGAATGAATTCAGACATCCACCAAGGTGGTAGGCTACAGGGCTGGTATTATAGCTGAGGGAACATTTACAGGCTTGGAACTCGTTCCACAGGGCCCTATAGAAACTCTGCTTGACTTTAGATTAACCTAACCTACTTACTGATAACTTTTCCAGCCACTCTTCTACTTGGGAACTCTCCCCTCCGTTAAACCGGAATCTGACTCCTTTGAAGCTCTGTTCTGTCCTCAGACCTGTTAAGCAGTGTTCAGACTCCTCTCTTACTGCTTCATTGATCACTTTCATGCACACTTTCCCAAATCCTAGCCCAGTCTCAAACTTCCCCTTGCACTCTTTCCCACAACACCTGCCGGCCATAGGCATTTCCTATGCCATCCCCCTCAGACTAATCCCTGCCCTGCCTCCACCCCAACATACCCTCAGCCTGAATCTCATTCCTGATCATTCCCTTAAAAAATTATTTGCGAATGTCACTTAATCATGATGATATAAAGCCTTCTAAGATTAAAAAAAAAAAAAAAAAGCAGCACCTCAACAGAATCTTACTCCAGGCCTGACCACTGTCAATAAAATAGTTTGCTTCAAATAGTGGAATGAGATATTATGAAATAAATCAAAATAAAGTCAAATGTGTCTGGATGGCCATCACACTTCAGAATAGAAAAACTACACTCATCTTGTTACACCGGATGATACAAACCCTAAAACCATCTGCTGTGAGTCTGGCCATTTTTATCTGAGTCAGTGCATTCAGGGTAAGAGACACGGGACCCAACAAACACACCTGGGCTACCTTGAAAAGTTCTTAGATGGCGTCCTCTTCCTCTTTCCACCACTGATCTCCAGTTTCCCCGTCCATTTCTGAATCTATTATAGTTGGAAATTGTATCTTTTCCTGGTCTACCAGGAACCCAACAACTTTCCAAATAGGGATAAAAGTTTATAGCCCTCTCTCCCATCTTCACCAGGTAATTCAAGAGGCAAACTAACCAAGAAAAGTGGCTGGTGCGAACGAAAGGGAAATTCTTGGCTGCTTCTACAATCCTCCATGTAAACAGAGATGGGACCCACGAGAGGCCCCGGAGAGCCCACTCCTGCACCAGCGAAGAAGGCCCGGGCAGATGGGTGACACAGGGCAAGGACTGAGGTCAGAGCAAGAGGTGACAGGAGAGGAGTGGCAAACACCTCGCTCTCTGCACAGGTCTTCCAGGCCTAAGTGATGCTGTGCTTTGGTAAAAAGAGCAGTGATTGCTCTCCAGAAAGAGGTAGACTTCAGGGGTTTGGGAAATTTTTGAGGTCTGGACCTTGATATCTTCTCAGAAGCTTTAAAGCCTTGCTTGTGCAGACATAACATGACAAAGTGTCAAAAGTTAAAAAAAAAATGCAGAAGCTGGAGGGTAAGCTAAAAACTAAAATAAGATTTGGTTTCTTAAGCCTGGGGCATGAAGCCGACAGCATTTTTAGTCAAAGTCTATGCTCCCCAATGTCAAAAACAGGTATTAATTAGAGAAATAGAAGTTTCTTGTTTCTTTCACTGTAAACTTGCTGGCCACAACTGGCTATTATGGTGGCAATAATCTAATAAAACACTGGAATTAAAGCAATGTCATCATTTTGTTTATAAGGCTGACCTAAGCATCTAATGTTTTAATTGAACACAGACAGACTGCAGTTTTCCCTGTCCTCAGACTGCCTTTAACTATCTAGCTGGAGGTGTCTAAGAAAATTCAGCAAAGTTCCACTTATTGGCACAGTTCACATTGTGAGGTTCCCAACTGGTTCTAGTAGGAAATCGTCCTTTCCATTGCTCCATGTAGTACCGCCATCTGGTGGTAGAGGGAATAACTGCAGGCTGCAGTGCTACAGGGTAAAAACTTGCCTTTTGCTGGTTTACTTCCAAAAACAGTTTCTTTTGCTGATCTAAGTTTATCAGACACTGAATACAATCACTTTGTATATTTCAGTGGGATTCAAATAATGGCAACATTATTTGAAAGTTACAATGGGAAAGAAAAAAAAACAAAATAGTTTACAGCTTAAGTATTTTAAATAAAGCTGTTGGTTCCTTTGCTCATTTATTAGATACATCCTTCCTAAGTGCCTACTATGTGCCAAGCACTGCAGAGGGCACTGGGACAACAAGGGAAATGAGACATGGTTCCTGCCATCCAGGAACTGAGAATAGTTCAGGAGGGAGACAAAGTAAGTCAGGCATCTCCTGTGAGAGCCTCAGGAATGTTTGGCACCTCAGCCAAAGCCTGGTATAGTTTGTGTGTTCAAATATTTGTTAAAGGAATGCATGACCTAGAAACACACAGTAGGGACACGTAATCCAGACTCAGTAGTGGCCATGTAGGGTATTTAAAATATATACCATGTGTCAGTAAGCTAAAGTGATGTCTTCATTTGGTGAAGAATGTGGAGGAACGGACATACATTTCACACCACAATGGCACTAATTAATCAATCTGTACTTCTGTGGAAAATTCAGATAACTAGGGCACTCTGTTCCACAAAATACTAGTTACCCAAAGTCTTCGGTGACTAAAGTGGAGCTATTTATTTTGATTAACAGTTTCCTTAGCATGCTTGGTTAAGGGTGCAAAGTCAAGTGCCGTTTGGTTACAATGGGAAAGAAAAAATATACAAACCTTTCTTCTCTTGCTTGTCTTTGCTCCTCTCTTTTGTCTAAATACTCTCGGCTAGTAGAAATATGCAGAAGAAACAAAATTGGGAAGGAAAAGAACAGCGTTAGATGCTCATGAAATTGCCAAAAAGTTATTAGCAGTGCTTCATGAAAGACTACTGCCTCAGAAACGGAAAGTGGTTGTGCTGGATTAAATATATATATATATATATTTATATATATATATAATATATAGCATATATTATATATGTGTGTGTGTGTGTGTATATATACACACACACATATATATATAAATAAATATATATATAAATATATATATATATAAAGGCTACCCTTTCAAAGAACTAAATACAATGGATTTATTATAGAATCACAGGAATGAAAACATGGGAAATCCTACAAGTTAAAGAAAGACGAATTTAGGTAGGCAAATGAGAGAGGAGAAAAAAAGTTTTTTAAAAGGTGAAACAATACATAAATAAAGTACAGCAGTTACAAGCAAACAATAGCTTTCAGAGATGATTAGCGTCCAATCAAGTTCTGGTAGCTCCACAATTTTCATCTCAAGAATTAAAGGCGTCTTGGCCATTTTGCATTATGCTCTGCAGTTAGGACATTCATGCCACAGTGCAGGATTCGTCCTCTCCATCCCTATGCAGAGATCATGGGAAGCTCTTGCTTGTACATTCTCTTGTCTGCACTCATGAGATGCCCAACTCTGTCCACTTTCCACGTTTGTTGTTCTGCTCCTGCTGATGAGATTCCAGCTTGAATCTAAGTTTAAGACTTAAGATCAGCCACTTCTCAGTGGGCCACGTATTTTCCTGAAAAATTATGACTTCATGGTTTTCTAAACTGGACCTCACAATGTAGCTTAAGTATTCTACCCCTCCATGCACTGGTAACAGGATATCAAGGGACAGTCAGTCAGAGCAACTAAAACAGACTAGGAGAGGGAGAAAATGAAAGAAAGACCCAGTTTTGTTATCATTTATGAGGTCCCATCCTCATCACCTTCCACATTAGAAATAATATGTCCCATAACCCAGGAATCTTAAGATCATATTCAACAAAAATAAGAACAGATAAGGATGCTTTGTAAGGGTAAAAAACACAAGAGGTATGAATAAGTTAAATCAATAAATGGCTGAAGAAAGGTCACCCATTTGGGCAATCTCAGGGACTACTTTATAAAGCTTTTACTATTTATTTTTCTGAATTTCTCTTGATTCATATCCTCAGACTTTCAGGGTAGAACTACAGTCATCATAATTAATAGTTGTATGTGGTCTGTCCTGATGATCAGCACTCCTTCTTGGACAGGGTTATTTGTGCCAGAATCTCTTACATGTGTCTTACATGATGAGTAAGACCCACTTGGGACAAAAAGCAAATAGTGGATGGTTATAAACATGGTCTCTGTCTAGACACACATGCATACAAATATACAGCTTAATATGTGTTACAATGAGCTCTTGCCCTATTCTTCTGGGACTTCAATGCTATGAATGCAAGGTACTTTGTTACTGTTCTATAGGTCCCTGATACACTACATTTTTTCCAATGTTTTGCTTCATTTTTTAGACTGGATAACTTCTATTGTTCTATCTTCAAGTTTACCGACTCCTCTCTCATCTCCATTCTGCCACTGATTCCATCCAATGATTTTTTTTTATTTTGATTACTGTATTTTTCAGTTCTATATGTATTTCCACTTGGTTCTTCTTTATAGCTTCTATTTCTTTTACAGAGACTTATTTTTTCATTTGTTTCAAAAGTATTTGCCATTACCTCTTAGAACCTGCTTATAGTAGCTCTTTTACAGTCTTTGTCTGATAACAACATCTATGTCCTTTTGCAGTTAGCGTATTTTGATTTTCTTTTCCCTTTAAGATCCTTGTGGGTTTTTGTGTGACATGTTACACTGGATTGCTTCCAGAACATTTTAAATATTTTGAAATGAGACTCTTGGTCTTACTTGAATTCTATAAAGAGTCTTGTTTTCTTTTAGCAGGCAATCAACTAGGTTAGATCCAGCCTGCAAGTTCTGACACTGGTTCTGATATTAGCTCAGCTTTCAAACATTTTTAATGTTACTTAAATTGAGCCCTGTATGCACCACCCACTGGCCAGTCCAGGACCTGAGTGGTGGTCCACTCTGTATTCTGTTCTCGAAGTCTGTGGTGTGCTATGTAGGTTCTGAGCCACATGTGCACAAACAGCCGATGAGCCTAGAAGTGCTCTCTTGATTTCTCTATACTTTGTGACTTTCCTATAATTTCCGGCTTCCTTGGGTTGGTCCTGTAGCCAGAAAGCTTGGGCTTTATTCTCCATGCTCTGTTGCATACTTTGAGTAACTCCATCTGCACCCAGGGCAGCACAGTGGGACACAGAGAGAACGAGGGTCATCTGACTAGTGCTCTTGGAGCCACAGTTCCCCTGGTCAGAGGAAGGGTCCCTTCCCTCAGAGTTTTTGCCACCTGCCTGAACACTGCTGCCATCACTGTGCTTTGGTAACAATATAGCTTGGAGACTGGGGTAGGGAAGAAGGGAAAAGATATGAAAATACAGGACAGTTCTCCAGTCTCAGACTCTTAGGAACTTCATTTGCTGCTCCTCAGTCCAGAAAGAAAGAGAGACCTTCTCTTAGAGCTCTTTCGGTTCACACTTGGTGTGTGCTTTTGGGTTTGGGGGTACCTCTGAGCACACACCAGGTGATGTAGTAGAAAAAAAGGGTAAGCTCTGGCTGGCTTGGAACTCTGAATGCTAGCCTCTGTCCCCAGTTCATTGGCTCCCCTTTACAGTTCAGAGTCTTCAGAGTTCCACGTGTCTGTCTGTCCATGGTTGCTGATTCCACTCAGTGGCGCGGAAGAAGAGATGGGAGGGAGTGTACTGACTCCATCTTCCCCTGAGCTGACACCGTTTCAGTAGGTTTTCAGCCCAAATCCTTTTATGTGCAAACTAACCTCTGAATCTTCCATGTGTTTCAGTCAGATTCGCCACTGCTATTTGGTGGCAAACTATGCAAACTCTCAGAAAGCCCTCATCAGGAAGGATCTCACCTATTCCAGTGGTTCTACAAACTGGTGTTTCCAGAAGCAACAACTTGTAGAGTTACCTCATGAGAAATGGTGCATACAGGTCTGGCATTTCCACATATAACTTGATAAAAGTCTGACCGTTCAGGGTACGTTATGCAATCCCAGAGGAGGAATGATGTTAAGTTTACTTCACGCCAGCCACTAACCCAGCCTTACAAAGTCAAGATTAGCATTTCACTCACGGACTTGGGATATTTGTTGCCACGTAAGAGTGGGTTATAGTTAAGGTAACTTTGCAACTCTGCTTATATTTTGACCATTTTTACAATTATACTTACTTTCCTGGGTTCTGGAAAAACATAACAGAACCTGTAAATCCTCGCTGACGATGCTTTTACATTCTTTGTGAGTTTAAATGGGACTCATTGAAAGGGGATACTGTTTGCCAAAGAAACCAAACTGAGGAAACTGGAAGTGAAGATGGGGTGAGAAAGGCAAACAGGAAAGAACACAGAAGGTCTAGGAGCCATGACTAGGAAGGTGACAAAGGCAGAGATGAGGAGAGGATGCAAGGAAAGGAAGAGGAGACGGAACGAAATGTGTAAGGAGAGACTCAGCAAGTGTTTTGCGTTCCGTGGAGCACTGCACAGCACGAAGCTGGCAGGGAGGGGGAGAAATGGAAGGAGGTCGACCAGGAGGTTGGGGAGAACAGGTGTACAGGCTGGAGGAGAGACGGAGGGACATTGAACTCAGCTGGCGCAGACAGGCTGAGACAGGAACACAGCCTGGGAGCTGGATGGAGACCAAAGAGATCAGTGGGATAATGGGCTGAGAGTAACTGGCAGAATGGCTTTCTCCTCCATAGGAGGAGACAGTATTGTTTTAAAAAATATACTGAAGACTGCAGCAGGGAGCAAGGAGCAAAGCAGAAAGTGGGAAATGCATTTTCCTTTGGCATCCAATGGAATATGAATAAAACATGAGTAGCTTTAGGGGGAAATGACAAATTAAGTTAAGACAATTAGGCTCTCTGTCTTCAGGAAGGTCTGGATAAGACCATTTTAGATAATGGAGAACCCCAAAATACACAAGCTCCTAATTGTATTTGGCTGGCTTTCTGTGCTTCCTGCCATATGGTTAGAGGGAGAAGGCCATAACAAGCCAGAGCTAGTCCATTTCAGGAATGTCTTACAGTTCCTTAAAAACAGAGACAGAATCTAAAGCAAACATATTGCTCCTGAACCCTTCACACAAGTCTTCATCATACAGAGCATGAAGGCATGTGCTTCCATTTTCCATTCATTATTTATAGAACGTTAAAACTCCTCTTACTTGAATTTGTTCCTTTCTTCCCGTTCTATTCTCTGCAGCCTTTCTTCTCTCTCTTGCCGCCGCCTCTCTCTCTCTGCTGCCAGTGACTCTTGATGCTGCCTAAAGGATGATGTGAGAAGACCACTCAGTGAAGACCTAAAGATACAGAGTTAATGTTTTAGTGCCTTGGCCTGCCATTAAAAATACCCAAGTAGGAACCAGCCAGACTTCAGTTTAAAGTGAGGGCCCAGTGCGCTGGTACCTAGGTATTGCTGGAGGTGGGGGAGGAAGGATTACTGAGTGTCTCAGGATCTTCCTCTGTAAATGGAGGTAAGTAGCCTGCTTCATGTGTCAGGAGGATAAAGAGGAACGGATGTGTATACAATACTAAGCACCATGTCTGGCACATAAGCAGACATCAAATAATGGGTGCTGTTATTACTGAAAAGAATTCCCATAATATGCATAACCTATAAATACAGATTCATCCTCTCTCCCACTCCCTTTTTCTCTCTCTCTAGAGAGATACACACACTTTTTTTAAAAGGTTAATTTTTTTTCTTGTTAGTTAACAAATTGTGTAATAATGACTTCAGGAGTAGAATTTAGTGATTCATCATTTACATACGACACCCAGTGCTCATCCCAACAAGTGCCTTCCTTAATTCCCATCACCCATTGAGTCCATCCCCTGACCCACCGCCCCTCCAGCCACCCTCAGTTTGTTCTCTGTATTGAAGTGTCTCTTATGACCTCCCTCTCTGTTTTTATCTTATGTTTGCTCCCCTTCCCCTATGTTCATGTTTTCTGCATTTCCTCATATGAGTGAAATCATAGATTTGTCTTTTTCTGACTTATTTTGCTTAGCATAATACACTCTAGTTCCATCCACGTTATTGCAAGTGACAAGATTTCATTCTTTTTGATCACTCAGTAATAGTCCATTATATATATAATGGCTGTCATTTAGAAGTGGCAGAAATAGAGGGAAGAAGCTGCCGTTGCTGATAGCGATGAGAAGGGAGTAACCAAATCTTGTATTCTAGACTCTCTAGGGAGCTACTCCATCAGCCCTGGATACCTGAGCATGGATGGAATTTGATTTCTCCTTCACATACGTGAGGTCTAGACTATCTTTCTTAAGCTGGTATTTATTTTTTCTGTTCTATGCAGCTAAATCTAATCCACAGAGTGGACAGGTTTACTGTACCTCTCACGCAGTGATTGACAGAAATTGTTATGGATGTAACAGATTTTTTAAAAACTGATTAATAAGTTTAGCAAATGAACATATATACCTACTGCCCCAAATTAGAGAAAACACATTCTTCTCAAATAGAGAGGCTCTTCAAAAGCTCACCAGCACTCCTGCCACAAAGCTCATAAATAAACCCCCAAAATTGGTTTCATATGGGCTACCTTCCTATCCACAATGTGAATGAGTCAGAGATAAGATAAATTTAAAAAAATTTTATAATTGGAAAATTGTAAACACTTCTAAATAATTCAGTCCAAGGAATAAAATTAGAAAAGATTCAAAGAGCACTATAATGAATAAAATATACATCAAGATTTATAGAATGGTTTTACAGTAGTATTTAGAAGGAAAATCTCGCACCCAAAGTGTTTATATTAGAAAAGAAGTAAAATTAATGAGTGGTCAACTCAACAATATAAAAAGCAACAAGAGATAAATTCAAAGAAAGCAAAAGAAATGAAATAAAGATAAAGACAAAGATTAATGAAATAGAAAAATAAAGATATATAGAGAAAATTTTTAAAAACCAAAGCCCATTTATAGTTTTTTAAAATAATAATACATTCTGTCAAAACTGTTTAAGAAAAGCTACTAACAAGCAATATTCAAGAATGGCACATTGATACAAGTACAAACAACAAGAGACAAAAATAATTTTGAGAAAAGAGGAGAAATTCCGATGACAATACATTTGGAAACTTTGAAGAAATGGATGTTTTTCTAAAAATAATTTACCAAATTTCACTGAGGAAGAAATAGAAATTTTAGAGCTCTATAAACCTTTAAGAAATTGAATCATTAATTACAGACACATCCATACACACCAAAACAAAAATAAAAACCCCAGAGGCACGTATTTTTAAAGGCGACTTCTACCAAATAACCAAAGAATTCATCTTAATCACATACCAAGTTTCAGAGAATATAAAGAAAAAGCTCCCCAGCTCATTTTAGGTGATTAGTATTATTCTGACACAAAAACTAAACAAGAACAGTGTGATAGAAACTTATATACTGATTGCAGACATGAACACCACTGCAAAATCTGAAATAAAATCATGTGTGTCCAATGAATGCAAGGATGTTTAAGATGAATACATCAATGAACGCAATTTATCGTATTAATAGGTTATAGGAGAAAAACCATGACTACCTCTGTAGATGCAGGAAAAGCTTTAAATACAACACTCATTTGTTATTTAAAAAAAACAAAAACAAAAACAAAAAACCTTCAGCAAGCATAGGACTAGAGAGAGCTTTCTTAACTGACAATGGGTATTTAGCCAACAATTTTTTTTAAGTATGGTAAACATCACTCAGTGCTGGAACATTAAGTGCATCTTAATGTTAGAATTGATCAATTGGTAGGGAAGTGATGGACTATTTAACAATTGATGCTGAGAGGACAATTAGGACATACAAGAAAATACAGTGATGCCTTGCACATACCAAACACAAAGAAAAATTCTGGGAGTGGAAAGTGCAAAAAAGCAAACTTTGCAATTTTTATCTCGGGAAAGAATTTTTATACCGGAAACAAAAAAAGGGTCATCAAAAAGAAAAAGCTTAATACATTTACATATATTAAAATTTAAAATTTGTATGCACTTAAAGAGTACATAATAAAGAAAAGCCACCACCTAGGAAGAGCTACTCATAACACATATGAACCACAAGGATTAGTATAACAGAAAGAACCACTCCACATCAGAAAAAAAGAAACCAGTCAGTGGAAAAATGAGCAAAAGATAATGGGCATTTTGCTGAAGAAGAGAATTAAATGGCCAACAAATACAGAAGTGATGCTCATCTTCACTAGCAATCAGGGAAAAAGAATACAAGTTAAACCTATAGTGTATATTGTTTCAAACATCTCAGGTTGCAAATTGACAGAAACGAATGCCTGATGACCTGAAGCATCGGCACAGAACGAGACAGCAAGAACTCTCTTCCATCCCTTCTGGGAGTCTAGGTTGATGTAATCATTTTGGAGGCGCACTTAATAAATTTGAAGACATGCGTATCCTACAACCCAGCAATCCTACTTCAAGGTTTGTACTAGAGAGTAATTTTTACATGCTAAAGATGGCAGATACGTACACAAATACTATGTGTTACACCGCCTTGCACTGTTGGTTAATGACTAGAAACTGTACAGGAACACAAAAATATACTACATTTTTACAAAGAAATACTTTATACCTGTGAAAAATAGAGTGAAATGGACTAACACAGATGATTCTCAAAAGCACAATATATTGGGAGTGAAAAGTAGTTTGAAGATTATGAACGATATACTGTTATTTCTATTAAGTTTAAATACATGCCAAGCAAAACCATATGCTATTTAAGGGTATGTTTATATTTAGCAAAAATATAATAACATATATGGAAATGATAAAGCCAATTTCAGGTGGCCATCACTGGGGAAGAAAATAAATCAAAGGAACAAGGGCTTCAATTTTATAAACAATAGCTCCATAATTTTCTATCATTACCTAAAATTTTCTGTAAGCCTGGAATATATTTTTTGAAGCCATTATACTGTTCTTTAAGAATCAAGAGTACTTTGGGGCGCCTGGATGTCTTAGTCGGTTGGGCGTCCGACTTTTGCTTAGGTCGTGATCTCGCGGTTCGTGGGTTCGGGCCCCGCGTCGGGCTCTGTGCTGACTGCCTGCTCAGAGCCTGGAGCCTATTTCGGAATCTGTGTCTCCCTCTCTCTCTGACCCTCCCCTGCTCGCGCTGTCTCTCTCTCTCTCTCCTAGAAATAAAAAAAAAAAAAAAAAAAAAAAAGAATCAAGAGTACTTCTCTTTTAGCATCAAGTATCTTTGAAGGCCCAAGCTAGCTGAACATCAAAACTTAAGTTTAGCTACAGAATTTGAAAACAAAACATAAGGTACTGTACACAGGAGACTTGTTATGTTAGGACTATGTGGGGAATTTGAACCCAGCCCCGCTTCCCAGCCTGCTCTGTGTGGTTGTCTCAAGTGCTAGCACCTTTACCTTCTGAATTCTCTGTTCAAAGCAAGACACAGGAGCTTGGAGGTCTGTGCTCTTGCTTAGGTGAAGAGACAAATAAGGACCTTGCCATTCCCCCTTACACTTCTGAATTTAGTTTGTTCTTCTAAATGTTTGCGCTTATCTCAGGAAAGAGTGAACACATAGTAATGAGCCATTAGTGGGTATGCAAATGAAGTCACAGGGAAGCCTCTCTGTATCATAAACATCATCTTCTTATGGAAAGAAGATTATCTTATTATGGAGCCTGAATAAAAGTAGTATTAGAACTCAAGAACGCTAAGTAGTATCCAGTTTAGTCAGGTGGACAGGTCATTCCTTCCTGCAGAGTTTGACCCCGCCCACTTGGATCTCATATTCACTCGCCAGCCAGATCACAACAGCAAACACACTGGCGGGCAGCATTAACAATATGGAAAGTCTCCTTCCTTAGTTCCTCAGTTTTGTTTTGTTTTTTTAATGTTTTTCATTTATTTTTGAGAGTCAGAGAGAGATAGCATGAGCAGGGGAGGGTCAGAGAGAAAGGGAGACACAGAAATCAAAACAGGCTCCAGGCTCTGAGCTGGCTGTCAGCACAGAGGCTGACACGGGGCTCAAACCCACGAACTGTGAGATCACGCCCTGAGCCGAAGTCGGACTGAGCTCCCTTAGTTCCTCAGTCTGAAAGCACTGAAATGTAAGCCAACTCAAAGCAATGCAGAGTGTGGTGTCTCTTTTCTGGAAATGAAGCAAAATGCCTTGAGCATTTCAAGATCCATTCTCTTGATCACACTAACACAGATCCCTGTAGCAGGAAGGAAGAATTAGAAGACCTCCCATGAGCTTTTCTGTCCTAAATGCACACAAGCCACCTGATCATACTAGAAACAAAAGGCTATA